AACTCAATGCAATTGTGGATGCTGAACTTCTACCTCAAATTGGTGAGGCCAGAGGAAGAGACTCCAATAATGCTCTTCTACGAGCATTTATTAATAGGCATTTTAGCTAATTAAGGCTATCAGTAAGTAGGTGCTACATTTTAGTTTTCAATTATTTTTCAAGAACTTGTTTTTTTATATATAGATATATAGATACACTGATGCTCATGGTTCAGCCAGAAACATCATAGAAAGATGCTTTGGTGTGCCAAAGTCTGTTTTTAGGTGTCTGTCTCATCAACGCCAGTTATGTATGCGCCAAACACTGCTGGCCAGTGCTACACAACATAAATATAGATTGATGGAACCATATGTCATCACATCCACAGAAATCATTGTTGATAGCAATAATGATGATGGCTTGGAAGATACAGGTAATATTAGATTAGACTATGTTGTCTGTGTATTATTAGAATAATCTTATGCTATATTAGAATAATTTTAAATTTTTATGTTTTTATTACAGGACGAGTAACTGGCACTGGGCGAGCTGTTGCAGAGCGCCTGCAAAGACTCATAAATACTGCTTATACTTAATTGTCTACAGTATTATGTTATATTAGTAATAATATAATTATAGTAATGATGTGTATAGTAAATGTTTCATATTAATTGTATACAGTAATATATTGTAAATTGATTTTATTTATAACTAAAGTCCCGCTGGGTTTCTTGCTGGTTCTTCCCAGGACAGAGGTTGTTTTTCGAACCAGTGGTAATAGAAAAAATTACTAAAAAATCTATATTTAATAAAAAATATTCTATTCTCGTATGTGAATTGAAATAAAACATTAAAAATCTTAATTTATCTATTATTTTTATTTACATATAATGTTAAGGCATCTCCTATTTTATTGGCAGCCTGTGCTAATAATAGAAACGCCTCTGCCTGCATTTTGACAGCCTCTGCCTGCATTTTAGCAGCCGCTGCTTGCACTTCAGTTGCAGCTGCCAGCATCTGTCATGAAAAATATAGATAGATCGACAAATTCTTGCTAATTCTCTCTAGCATGCTAGTGAATCTTTAGGATAAAGTATGCCATATAATGTATCTATTGACAGACAAACAATAGTTTACATTTTTTTTTACAAAATGGTGTCACGCGAGCGTAGAGTACACCTGATGTTTTGACTTGACCAATGCCTATGTCTACATCTCCCTCACTTTAAGAATCAAAATGCAGATGCGTTGTCGCTCATGAGGACTAAAATGGAATGCAACAGCTTGCCCAGTGCCAATTACTTGTCCTGTAATTAAAATATAAAATTTTAAAATAATTCTAATATAGCATAAGATTATTCTAATATTACACAGACAACATAGTCTAATCTAATATTACCTAAACAACATTATTACCTGTATCTTCCAAGCCATCATCATTATAGCTATCAACAATGATTTATGTGGATGTGGTGACATATGGTTTATTTTTCAAGAACTTGAAGTTTTCTTTTATAATATTCAATTTTTATTTTTATTAATGTCTCCTCAAGGTCCAAGTTTCGTGCTTTCCTTTCTTCATTTGCCATTTGGGATTGATGGACCTCTTTCCTGCACTCAATTTCAGTATTGGCTATACTTGCTGCATGATCTGAGGTCTGAAATAGAAATAGTTATGTTTGTTTATTTCAAAAAATCAAAGCAAGAATTTCATAAATTAACAGAATCCCAATTAGAATAGAGGTTATTGTATTTACCTTTTTCTCACTTTTAGGTTTCCTCCAGGTTTCTTAGATGGTGTAAACAGTGGTTTTGGTGGTGAGCCAATAGATACAACCTGCAGCAATGGAAACCGTTAAAAGAAACTAGTTTATACTAACTTAATCTTAAATGTTTCGTCAAATAAAATTCAAGTTTGAATAGACCATTTCATTTTTTCAAGTAGTATTTCTATCCCTAAACTTTACAATGCACATACTGGGAGATAACTGCTTCCATGGTTTCAACAACATCAGGATTACAAATCAAGTTACGGGTTCAATTTCCAGTTTGGCACATGTTTAGTTAGTACTTAATTTATGACATTTTACATACTTACCTCTTGTATATTTTGGACGTCCTGAAGTATGTCTACTGTGACATCCTTTATTGTACTCATTGTGTCCTTCAAGAGTAAAATAAAATTAAAATAAGGTATGAAAAATATAAAAATTACTTGCTATATCAATACATTACCGATGCTTACAATATCTGAAGTCTTGTTTTCAATGTTGACAAGTTTAATTATCTCATCCACTTTGATCTCATTTTGCAATGGCTCCCCAATCTACAAACAATGCCATAAATAATTCTATTACTAATGAACTATATTATGTAAGTATGATTTTTTTTTGATAACAATATCATTAACTAAACTTTAGTAGGTATTTAGGCAGAAAAGGAACAACAATGTTTATCAAATGAAAGTTTGTACTAGGTAGAGATAAAAATTTGTGACTTTTAACTTAGAATCTTGACATATACCTGATTTATTTCATCAGAATCAAATTCATTTGTGTCAATGACAAATTCGTTAGGGAGCCATGAACAGATGTCATCTGCATTTTCGGGGTTTGTTTTTGGAGGTGGACCACCACCAGTCTGAAGAAGATTTTTACGTTCGACAGACTTAATTTTCTTTTTTGCCATTTTAATGATGCACCATTAGGCTTTTAGTTGTGGGAAGGTCCGAGTGCCACCTTCGCACATACTGTTGAAACTGGAAAAAAGTATAAAAATTTACATAAATGTTTAACATTTTATCTTCCTCCCGCCAATATTCACTTCTTTGCCGCTTTTTACTTGTACTGTTTTCCATTATTATTGAGTATAAAATAAAACTCAAATCAATTTCTTGAAACGATTTAACGACTAAACGATTTAACCGCGCTTATTTTGACGATAATGTCACAATTGCTGTCAAACTTTTTTTTTCACCGTGGCTAGTCTATGGATTCATCAGAATGACAACATAAGAAAACTAAAGTATTTCATAAGTACGATTTAACTAAAATAGGTTTATAGAACGTTTATGAATAGAGTTTTATAATAGGTTTATTAGTACTAGTAAGCACTTTAACTAAAGAGTGTTATAACGCCATTTTAAGGGATTTTTATGAATAAGACTGTAGAACTATAAGATTAAAATTAAGAGTGACCAGCTATTAGAATTAGAATAGAGACAACTCTAGGTAGAGCAATAATTAATTATATATATATATATATATATATATATATATATATATATATATATATATATATATATATATATATATATATTAAGTGTATGTGTTAAGTGCGTGTTAAAGTGACAAATCATAACAAGTAGAGTTACGACTCTACATAGAGAAAACATTTTTTAGTTTTATTAATTTTATATTTTTATAACTTTTTAAAGGAAAGGGACGGGGTGTTTGTGGTTATTTTAAACTTGAGATACCTTTGACTTTTACCTTTGAATATCCGCAACCTAGTCATATTTTAATAAAATTTATAACTTTTACAAACCTTTTGAATCCTTTATTTTATGACAAAATTTATTATTCATTAATTTATTTGTTTTGTTGATTGTTGAGACCCAAGACGCTTTCCCCTGACAAAATGTTCGGTTTCCGTACTCCAACTAAAAGTACTGAGGATAGTGCCAAGAAGACGAGTCCTCAGGGTTCCCCGAACGAGATAGAGAAGGCAGGGCCTTCTACTAATAAGGAACGAACGGCACAGGTCCTTAATATAAGAAAGAGCATTGGAGAATGGGAAACAGGACAAGTAGATACGGTAGCGGCAAAACAGACATCCCCAAAGAAGGTAGCCCCACTTGCTCGACAAAAACAGAAAATTGCCCTTTCCCAGGAAGCAAAAGGAACAGTCCGTAAAGCAGTTGCTGAAGCTACAGAAAGTTCACCAAAAGTGGAGACCAACAAATATGAGGATCGCCTGACTGAGGCTCGAGCCTGTCTCCACAAAGCCAAACTTCACCTCAACAACTCTCGTAACCTGAGGACTGATATTAAAGGAGAAGTCACTCAGACTATAGAAAGGCTTTACCAACTGGTATAAGAAATAGAAAAAGCAAGAAAGCAAAGAGGATAGAGCAACATATGCCAGTATAGTGGCTGGGCCACAAAGGGGCTCACTTCCAGAAAATACAGCCATGCATTCGGTGATGATTACATCATGTGATGAAAAAGATACAGGGGATCAAGTGATGCGCAAGATAAGGAAAGTAATAAATGCAAAAGAAGAGGGCCTAAAAATAGACAAGATTAGAAAAGCTACGGACAGGAAGATAATAGTAGGATGCCGAACGGAGATGGAGATAAATAGAGTTAAGGAAAGACTAAAGATGGAAGGGAAAGACCTCAATGTTGACGACATCAAAAACAAGGATCCGCTTATAATCCTGATGGACGTATTGCAATACAACACGGATGCGGACATACAAAAGGCCATACAAGTGCAGAACAAGCATCTCCTCCAAGATATTCCAGAAAAAGAATGTAGAATGGAAGTAAAATATAGAAAAAGAACCAGGAACCCACTAACATCCCACATTGTTATAAGAGTCTCACCCCAAATATGGAGCCGCCTAACACAGGCTGGAGTAATCCACGTGGACCTTCAGCGAGTAAGGGTGATGGATCAGTCGCCCTTGGTCCAATGCTCGAGATGTTTGGGCTACGGACACAGTAAACGTACCTGTAGTGAAACCACTGATGTCTGTAGCCATTGCGGAGCCCCACATCTGAAAACTGAATGCGCTAACTGGCTAGCCGGAGAAATGCCAGGCTGTAAAATTTGTAACAAGGCAAAGTTAGAGAAAAGAGAGCATAACGCATTTAGTGGGGACTGCCCAGTAAGGAAGAAGTGGGAAATACTAGCGAGGTCCACCGTGGCTTACTGCTAAAGTTGTCCCAAGGCTCAATAGGGAACCAGGTACCACAGACCACCGATATCACGTCGCACAGGCGAATCATCAGAGATGCGAGCTAGCCACGGCCGAAATAATAACAGAGGCAATCAAGAAAAAGCTAATGTTCGCCATGATACAGGAGCCCTATATCGGCCGCATAGGTCAGATGAAAACCTACCCGGGAACCAGAATAGCGCAAAAAGACGCCTTGACACCGAAAAGGTGAATAAGGCAGCTATTGTGCTATTCGACGACACCATCGACATGACCCAATGCCCCAGTCTGACGACGGGGAACATTGCAGTCGCTAGGTTGAGGACGGGGGCATGGGAGATGGGGGTGGTGTCCGTCTACTTGGAGGGAGAAAAGCCGATCGAACCACATCTGAGAATGATCGAAGCGGCCGTGGTGGGACTACGCACCAAAAACGTGATACTCGGTGGGGATGTGAATGCCTAGAACACTTGGTAGGGTAGTCGAAGGACAGACATTAGGGGGTCAGAGGTCGCTGCAAAACTTGACGAGCTAGAACTTCACATCTTAAACAAAGGACCTGAACCCACGTTTGATGCGTACAGAGGTGGGAAGAGGTTCACCAGCTGCGTGGATATCACTACCTGCCCGACTAGCCTACTCGGAAGAAATAACTAGCTCTGACCATAGGACAGTCGTATTTGATATAAATTTAGGGAAGTCATTAGGTACCGATATTAAAAGAACAACGAGGAAATATAATACTAGAAAAGCAAACTGGAACGAGTTTCGTGAGAAACTCGTCCAGATTTGGAACAACAAACAATTAAATAAAGCAGAAATAGATAAAGTCAAAACTACACAAGAATTAGAAAATAAAATAGACCTATTTACAAACTCAATTATCGAAGCATGTGAAAATAGCATACCAAAATTAAATAACAAAAAGCAAATGGGACTGCCCTGGTGGACCAACGAGCTCACACAGCTTAAAAAGAAAGTCTCCAGGCTGAAGCGTCGAATTGCTTACGCGGCGCCGGTTCGACGAGAATGGGTGGTCGAGCAGTATAAAGCAGCCAAAGAAGAGTACCAGCAGGAAGTAAAAAAGGCCCAGACCACAAGCTGGAAACAGTTTTGCAGCAGACAGGACAGAGAAACAATGTGGGACAGCATATACAGGGTGATAAGCTGCACAATGGTGCGACAGGAGGATACTCCACTTGTCTGTAACGGAGAGGTTTTAGAAGGTGAAAAGTCAGCTAGGATCCTGGCGGAGACTTTTTATCCCGAGGATAAAACTGAAGATGACGACACGGACCACACACAAATAAGGGAAAAAGCAAAGATCGTGAACGAAGGGACACATGATAGTCCATGTGACCCGCCCTTTACGGAAAATGAGCTGATGTTGTCCGTGTCAAGCTTCAACCCAAATAAGGCGCCAGGAGACGACGGACTTACTGCAGACATTTGTGGGGTGGTAATCGCCCTAGACTCACCATTGTTCTTGGCACTGAAAATGAAAATGAAAAATGATTTATTGATTTACAATGATACAATTTAAAGCAGTCGCAAGGGCCCCTGTACTAGGTTGGTTACCTGTGTTACTGGGTACCCCGCTCATCCACCAAGACTATACAATATTAATCAATAAATAACAAAAGGCAAGGCATGCGCTAGCATTAGGGAGTAATGTAATTTATAATATAATAAGTGTGTGTGTGTGTGTGTGTGTGTGTGTGTGTGTGTGTGTGTGTTGTGGGTATGTGAGCAGTGCTTTAACAACTGGTGAGGCACTATTAAATAAATGTCTCAGTCTCACATACTTTCCCATCCGGTGGAAGAAGGCCAAAGTGGTAGAACTGCGGAAGCCTGGGAAGGATAATTACGCACACCCTAAATCATACAGGCCGATTGGGCTATTGCCTGTACTGGGGAATTTTTTAAAAAAATTGGTAATTCGAAGAATAAAGTGGTACATTGTAACAATAAGCCGACAGCAATATGGGTTTATGCCGCAGCGCAGTACCGAAGAATCCCTCTATGATATGATGCAGTTGATAAGAACTAAGCTAACGGACAAAAAACTTATCCTGCTCATATCATTAGACATAGAGGGCGCCTTCGATAATGCATGGTGGCCTGCAATAAAATGTAGACTCGCGGAAACGGCGTGCCCAGTAAACTTGAGGCGCCTTATAGACATCTATCTTAAGGATAGAATGGTTAGCGTGAGGTATGCTGGGGCACAATGGAATAAAAAGGCAACAAAAGGGTGTGTGCAGGGCTCGATAGGGGGTCCAATATTTTAGAACCTTCTGTTGGACCCGCTATTAAAATAGTTGGTCGAACAAGAAATTCACTGCCAGGCTTTCGCAGACGATATAGTTCTGATATTCTCGGGGGACTTAACCAGGCAGGTGCAGGACCAGGCCAATAGGACCCTCGCACAAGTTCAGAAGTGGGGAGTCAAAAAGAGACTTAAGTTTGCTCCACAAAAAACTAAAGCGATGATAAACATAATAAAAAATATTTATACATTGCATAACACTTCGGTGTATTATACTCTAAATCGCGTGCGCGCGTCTTCGCTCATTGAAGCCGACTAACTTCATGCATACTTGACCGCTCATACACACGTTTAAATTAATATGACGCTCAAGCTTGATCAAGTCGGCACAATCGAAGTTCAATTTTTGCTACAAGTAGACTTGTCATCCACACCCATAGCCATACACCGTCAAGTTTACCGGTCGCCGCTTCAAGCGCGCTGCAAACTTGACGGTAGATTTGATCGTGTATGGCTGCCATTACGCCACTAGATCAACGATGAAATCATAAATACTCTTGTGTTATTATGCTTTATGGAACCCTTGGTTGGACTGGGAGTCTTATTATTACTAACAAGCTAAAATATGACTCACCACTTCTGGAAATGGGCGGGGAGAGCATTGATCTCTCCAGGGAAATTAAAATACTCGGCCTCACAGTTGATGACAGGCTTGCCTTCACCGAAACAGCAATTTATATAACGCGGTATTCCTGGCTGAGGCAAAGGTATACCGTAAGGTTCTCGACTTCGGGAGGGTTTGTGTGGACCACCAGCGGGTCACTGTGAACAGCTTCTCCCCATTTTTACAGTGTCACAATTGCCTTCAGTTTGGGCACATGAAATCAAAATGCACAGCGACGGATAGTCCCTGCTCGCACTGCGCCAGCAAGGAACATCAAATTGATAAATGCCCTGTTAAAAATAACCCCAATAGTGCGACATGCTTCAACTGCTCATCCCACAATGCCAAGTTTAATTCGAAAGATGACTGCAAACACACTGCTAATATAAATGTCCCAGACTGCGAGCCATGAAAGATAAAATTATCCAAAGAGTCGACTATGGATTTACATCATAAAAATATAAAATTTTTGCAGTGCAATATCGACCGTTCGAAGAACAGTCTACACGAATTATTTGTATCTTTCATGGCTGGCAGTCATGACATTGTATTATTATCAGAACCATATGTTGGTCCGGGTCTGGAACTCAAAGCTATTCACGGTGTCCAAATTATACAGTTCCCATCATCAGTTGCTAGGGTTAAGGCCTGCATTCTTGTAAGGCCTGGTTGTGGCTCAATAATAGGGCTTACACAATACTCCACACCTAGTCTCTGTATAGCACGCCTCTCAGCTGGGAATCGTGTTATATACATAGCTTCAGTTTACATAGAACCGGACAGAGATGAGTCAGCCACTCTGGACAAATTAGATGTCTTTCTTAAGGCTACAGGCGACTCACCTAAAATAATTGGGGGTGACTTCAACGGCTGGCATCCCATTTGGGGCAGCCCCGTCGCCTTTACTGGGATGGTGACGTGGTCGACCTAGTGTATGGCAACGAGTTGGTCGTCTGTAACACTGGCGAATCGCCTACGTTCGAGTCGATCACTCATGGCCGGCACAGGAGTTCGATCATCGACATTACTCTGGCATCCGAGTCGACATATCGATGGCCCCAACGAATAAACGTGCAAGAGCTCTTACCCAATTTTTTTTTCGTATTTTTCGTTTGCTTGGCCTATTATACACCTATATTTTTTTTTGAATATTTTAGACTTCGAATAAGCCTTTTATAGCACAATATTCCTTTATTGTACGGAAAAAAATATTTACATATCACATGAATAATAAAACATGTGCTTATTGCCGATTATTAGTTTATTTGAGTTCACCAGAATAAACGTGTTAAATCAATCTGCCGCTCGTGTCTATCCTTTCCTTTGGGTAATAACTCTTGCACGATTTTTCGTGTAAAAACGCAAGCGACTTTTATCACTAATGCCTCATTGCAGGCGGCAAAACTTTGAATATAATAATTACAGCTATGATATTGTCTTTTAACATTTTCTCTTGTTTTTTCTACTTTTGTAAAGGTTTAAGCCCTAATATTATTCGATCATGAATTTGAAGTTATTGGTAGTAACCGTTTAATAAACGGATACTTTCCCAATGGTGTCTATTGCAATCGCTCGTTACAAAAGGGGCGAAGCGGGGGCGGGGTATGTAAGATGCGCGTGACATCGCTAGACCCCGGAAGGACAGTCCGGATGCGAATTTGCTCGAGTTATTACGTAATTTCGTTTGTTTACTGAGCACATGCATTGTTGTTAATATTCATATTAAATCATTAATGAGTGATAAGTATAATTATGAATAGACACAGAGGTACTTCAAGTCGTTGCAGAAAGATATTAAAATTGGTGAACTATAGGATACACGGTATGTACCTACATATTATTGATTAACTACTTTTGTAAGTAAGAGGATACACACTTTAATCAATGGAAATTGGATTCTGTGTTATGTGGACTCCGACAACCTTTTTAGTTAAATGTAATAAGAACGAAAATCACCTGACACAGGCACCGCGCGGCGGTTGCCTATTATTTAGCTAATTTATTGTCTTATGTATTATGTAACTATTCTCTTTAGAAGGATTATTTGCTTTTACAGGCTCAGCTGATTTTGTATCGAGTAAACATTTTTTGATCCATGTTAATTACTTTTTTTTTCAGACAATATTATTAATGAAGATGACAGTAGTATTGAACTTAAAGAACAAAATGAAATTAAAAGTGAGAATGATGAAACTTTTTCTTTGGTTGTTGGTTAGGTATAATATATATATTTGAGGGGCTGAGTGTAAATGTAAGTAAATAGTTATTGAAAACATAGTAATGTAGTCATTTGAGTAATTTGTTTCAGAAAATTTCACATATCTTTCGCGAAGTTCTTTCCCCATTGATGGCATATCAGACCTCAAAGAAGTCAACTCAGAACCTGATGATTTTATTACACCGGCTCCATTAATAGTAGTAAATATATCTCCACATGATAATAATACCTCACCACCAAATGTACCAACAAATTACATTTTAGATATTTCTCATAATGTTATTGAATCATTACTACCTGAAATGGAATGTCAATCCCCAAATATGTACCTCATCCCAACACAATGCCATAGAATTTTGTCTTAATAGTCCCAACTCTGATTTATACACAAACAACAACACATCCACCTTCATTTATAAATCAAAAAAGGCTTGTTAGCCTTTATTTAATGAAACTCTACATTTACACATGCTACAATCTGACATCTTGGACACCAACATATCTGCCCTGAATCCCTTCGAGCTGGATGATCTCATAGCCAAAGTTGTGGAGATTATCTACATTTCCTGTCATAAAAGCATGCGAATGGGGGTAAAGGGGGGAAAATACAAGCCCCCATTGGTGGTCTGAAGAGCTAGAGGCTCAGAAACGTGAAATAATAAAATTGCATCATCGCATACAGGAAGCCAAGAGACGCGGTCTAGCCATAGAGGACTTAGTTGAGCAAAACATAACACTCAAAACAGAAACTTCAGGGTTTTTTGTAGCCTCCAAATCAAGGAGAATTTTTGGTCCCTTACTAATAGATTGTTAAAAGAGTCCACTGCTAGACGTCCACCAACTACTTTATAAATAAATAACAAGTTCACTGCTGACAATCATGAAACTGCAACCGCTTTGCTTGACCACTTTTATCCCTCCGATCTACCTAACACATCGGTGTTCGGGGATCGCCCCGACATCATGAGCTATTAGCCCATCTTGATGATATATTGGACACCAATGACGAGCCACCCTTCACTTCAGAGGAGGTGCTGGAACACTTCAGTCTTATGAACCCTAACAAGGCCCCGGGGTTGGACAACCTAACCTCGGATATTTGTCTTCAGTTCGCTAAGAATTACCCACAATTATTAACTGACATACTGAACAGGTGCCTTGGGCTCCAGCATTTTCCTGACTGCTGGAAGGTGGCTTATGTCAAAATCATTCCTAAACCAAGCAAGAGTGACTATGGAAAATTAAACTCTTTTCGTCCTATTGGGCTGCTGCCTGTGTTTGGCAAACTGTTGGAAAGACTTTTCATCAAGCGCGTCACTTACTGGGCTGCTAACAACAACCACAGCTGACCACGACAGTTTGGTTTCCGTGAGCAAACCAATTCGACCATGGCCATCGACACTGCGCTTGACGTGATCCGTCGGGCTAAAGACAATGGACTACTGGTAATTGCATTCTCCTTGGACATCAAAGCGGCTTTCGATAACGCCTGGTGGCCGGCACTGTTCCACGGGCTGAGAACAATTAATTGTCCACGCAACATCTATGGACTCATACGTAGTTACGTTCGGAATCGCATGGTGACTCTTGATCACGCCGGGGTCAGAGTCACCATAATGATGACCAAAGGATGCATCCAGGGCTCTGCTTGCGGCCCAGTATTGTGGAACATCATTCTCGATGTACTGCTTGGTGCGGAACTTTCGGCAGGTTGCCATATTCAGGCATACGCAGATGATGTATTTTTAGTTGTCGCGGCCAAAGATATCCACCGGCTGGAGAGTACAGCTAACGCTGCGCTCTCGCGTATTACTGACTGGGGGTCAAGTGTCAAATTGGTGTTTGGTCCCTCTAAAACACAAATGATCGCATTTACACCTGGTGCAAAGGCTGCAAATATCATTATGGATGGACACACTTTAAAATTTTCCCCTGATATCAAATTGTTGGGTGTCATTCTGGATGAAAAATTGCTATTCAATAAGCACATCCAGTATGTCATCAGCAAGGCGATTAAAATCTTCAACAAACTTTGCTTATACACCAGACCTACCTGGGGTGCACACCCGGAGAACATACGCGCCATATACCAGCAGGTAATCGTAACTATTGTTACATATGCCGCTGGTATATGGGGACATGTAGTTTCAAAGAGAGGGGTCAGAAAGCGGCTGGAGATAATGCAGCGAGGATTTGCCATCAAGGCGATTAAGGCATTCCGTACGGTCTCTACGGCGACTGCTCTGGCCCTAGCAAAATTCATACCGATCGATCTAAAAATCAAGGAGGTTTATGCGGTGGAAAGGACTAGATTGTCCTGCACATCAGACTTTCTACCGCATGACATAACTTTCGAAAAACCTACTGCACCACATAAACTCCTGCACCCCAGTGAGAGGATCACTATTCATTATGACACCGTACACAGCCAGCAAGAGGTGGACACCATCATCAGTCCTGACTCGGTCTGTATTTACACAGACGGCAGTAAGCAAGGGGACGGGGCGGTTGGGGCTGCCTTCGTTTGCTACGTGCCGGCGGTCAATTCACCCATCACTATTGTTAAAAAATTTAACTGCACGACTCATGCTCGGTATTCCAGGCTGAGCTGCTTGCTATTTATAAGGCTTGCAACTGGACACTCAACAATAATAACAAGGAAACTGTCATATTCTCTGATTCACTTTCTTCTATCAAAGCCCTACAAAATAGAAGCAATACACACCCTATTGTTGTAGACATTAATAAAATAATTCATGAAATCAAGAGGATTGGCAGCATTAAGCTAGTGTGGGTGAAAAGTCATGTGGGCATTGTGACGAGGCCGCGAATGCTGACTGTAAATTACACAAAGCACCAGACAACACACATTTTGCCATATCACACATTAAAACACTTAATACGCAGCAAACACTGGGACCTATGGCAGACCCGTTATGAGAGTGCGGAACAGGGCAGACACACCAAATTACATCTTCCCACTCTCGACAACATCACCACACTCAATAAAATCACTTGTCCCGACTTTCACCTAACTCAAGTTGTCACTGGTCATGGCTTTCACAAGTCATACTTATATCGTTTCAAGATCACTCCTGATGACAGATGTCCATGTGACGAAATTTGGAATTGAAAAAATCTGGAATTCCTACATGATCTACATTAAGCATATATTTACACGTCTTAAAGATTTTAATAATAACAATTAGGATTCATACAACACTTAATATACTCCTTATTTTATCCAATTTTCATTCTTCTCGATTCTACTCCAATTTTGTTTTCTCATAACCTCTTTTCATGTCATTAATTGTATATATTAAATTCAGTTTAGCTATAAGACCTTTTATTATTTTATTATTTATATTAATTGTATTAGAACCCGTCTAGTAAGTAAGTTGCACTTTATATTTCATTAGATTTTATATAGCTGATAAGTTCTATTTTATACTTAGCTTTTTTTGTTGATATTACTATTAATATAAATGTTTAGTCATCAAATGTTACAATACTTTAGTATGGCGTCTAGACTATTGTAAACAATTTATCCCATAAGTTTATTTGTAAACAGTAAAATTGTTAATTAAATATTTTATAGACAGTGTGTCAATCATAGAAATGTTATTTTAGTTATGTATGTTTCTCTTCACCTTTTGTTTAGTTATAAGTTTAAATTGAGTTATATTTACTCATAACTTCTTTTACACTTTGTCTAGAATAAAGCAATACTGTTAATAATATATTGTCAAAACAATATGTCATTTAAAAATAATTGTTGAACTTAAGCTAAGTTCAACAATACTTACCATTTCTATTTTACAACTTTCTTTATTTTTATTATTTTGTTTTTATAGATAGTGTGTCATCTATAGAAATGTTAATTTAGCAACCTATATTTCGCTTCACCTTTTGTTGAGTTTTAAGCTTAAGTTGATTTACATTTACTTATATATTATTTCACTCAAGCAAAACTGTTAATGATATTTTTTTATTTTCATTTAGATATAATTGTTAAACTTCGCTTAAGCATACTTTTTATTATTCAATTCCTCTTTTTTTTTCAATGTCTTTTTCTTGTATCTTATATATAAATACATTTTATTTTTCTTTTTTTTGTTAATATTTAAGTAAAGTATACATTGCCTGTATCAAATCGCAGGCAATCTGTATCACTTCGCTTGTGATTGCATTTGTTAAGTAATGTGTCTAGAGTTAAGCAAAATTGTGAAACCTGACAAATGGAGGAAATTAAAAAAAAAACCTAGTCTAACCTAACCTAACCTTTTTTATTACATGTGGAAATGCCTACGCATACCCGCCTCGCGGGGGTAAGGACGGGTTATGTAGGACTCGCACCGACTAAAACCCAATGGTGATCCACCCTCGTCGCATATTGGCAGGGCCACAGGAATGCTTTCGCACACATGCGCGGTCCCACCTGCGCTGGCCGCCCCATGGCGGCCTCCCCTCGGGAGAGGACTACTCCTCCCCCATCTCCTCCTCAGGTAAGGCGCACCAGAACACATGGCGCGCCCTCCTCCTGGGCTTCCAATTTCACATGCGCAACAGATACCCCCGTATCCGATGCGCGAAGGCCATGGGGCCAGGAAAAACTAGCACTCAGAAGCACCAGCCTTCCTGACCTCAGCGGCGGATCTGGTCTATGGCTCCGCCGCCAACCAAGATTCGGCTGCGGAGGGTAGGGAGAGCGGCGCCTCGCAATACCGGTACTCCTCTCCCCCCGCGGGCCCACTACGACCGCATCAACGGTGCGGCCCCGTCTAAGTCGCGGAGGATAGGGCGAGTGGCGCATCGCCATACCAACACTCCTCTTCCTCCGCGACTCTACCTTGGCTGCAGCGGTAGTGGGAGCGGACACCCCTCTCACCGCAGCCCAACAACACACATCCGAAGTGGGCTCGTTAAGCCCACTCGGAGTAGCCACCTCGGGCCGGCCCTACACCTCGGGGCAGCCAAGGGGTTCCTCTTTGTTCACCGCGGTTGACCAAGCCACGGCTACTAGCCCCCCCCCCCCCCCCCCCCGCCACGACAAGGCGGGAACCCGTTTGGGGGGGAACCTAACCTAACCTAACCTAACCCAGTACGCACCGTAAAGTGTCATATTAAACATAAGCTCCACGAAAAAATTGCAAATTTTTGAGCTACGCGAGTGGAAGTGCTGTGAAAAAGTTTTTGAGTGTGCAGTTCACTAGTGTTATTGGGGAGAACTCTGTACATCACCTGGCTTGGGAGCAGGAGCTTCTGAACTTTGGGGATAAGTAGTGTCAACAGCAACAAGAAAATCGCATAGGCAGTTTTTTTGTTTGAAAGCCGCTATTAGGCTCAATTAAAAGGCGTAAAAATCAAGAAAATCGGTCTACTACTGCGGAAGTCATTGGCTTGTAAATATTAACAACTTAACCTCAAACCACGTGGTTGCAACGTGCTTTCAGACATCGAGGTTATACGAGTAGCGTGCCAGTGAACACGAGGCGTCCGGCGACAGGGCAGACTTCAGTGGAGCCTTCGAAGACGGACCGAGGAATCCGCCGAGGATAAATTGCCGCAGCTGGAGACACTATTGACGTCCATCAGGTAAGCCACGAGGGATCTCCTAGACCCCTTATTTCTGACCACCCGAGTTTGGGCTCTTTTGAGTCGGGATCTCAAATCCCCGCCACATACCACACATTCACCCCACTCATACCAAGTCCCCCCCTCCCATTGCCCCTACCCGTACCTTCGCCCCTCCCTTCACACTATTCAGCAGAATAATATTATCCTGACCACTTACCACACCCAAAAACATTAGCCTCCTAACCCCCCCCCCCCATTTTTCTAAATACCATACGCTACCCACGAAAAACCCCCTCCCCCCTCGAGCGCAAGCTATAACTCAGAAACCGGAAGAGCTAGACCCCCCGTGTGAGGGCTCATTTAAATCAGGAAAAGAAGCTCTAACTTTTGGCCCCTACAGAATTTCTAAATTGCCCCTAGTTCCATACCATCACGACAAAAATACTTCAAGCATACTCTAGGACTCACAGTACACTACACCGGAGATCCTGCAACGGGCTCTTTCTTCGCGGCCAACGTACTCCACACTGCAGTTCAACAACCGAGGAACAGCAATGAGTTCACAATAATAATTATTAAAAAAAAACTATTTATTAGTATAACATATCTAACTATATAATATAAAGCATTACCTGATTTTTTCTATCTATTAAGGCAACCTTTATCTAGATATTAAGCACATATTTGTATAACATACTTGTATATTTAAAATAAAACAAAAAAAATGTCCGAAAACAAAGTTGTCTTGTCGGGTATGGAGACCGCTACCTCTAACAAGCCTTCTCAAAGCCTGTTGCGCCGCCCAGAGCTCCACAATCGCTGCGGGAAAAAGTATTAACAAAAACAAACTTAGCAAAAACAACTATCAGCGAAACGTTGCCGCGGCCATCATCTCAATCTGCAGCAGAAAAACGTTCTGTGGACTCAACCCCGACAGACACACACACCACTAGAAAAAAGGCTTCTTCGCACACCACCACCCTACGAACAAAAATTTCACAAAACTGTAAAAAGTGACAGCTCGATCCGGTCCTCCATTTGTGACCCGGCGGAGGTGGCTTTTTTTTATGTGTGGGTGACAAACGAGCACACAGTCCACCTGATGGTAGGTGGTTGCTGCGGCCCATAGACATCTACATCTATCCTCGTTTGCGAATCAAAATGCAGATGCGTTGTCACCCGTGAGGACTAAGATGGAATGCCTCATTTTCAGTAAAAAGGGCCTCCGGCTACCTGCACTCACCAAGCGAAACGCAGAGGTAAACCTCTACTTCACGCTGGTATTCTATGAGGTCGTGGTACCACCCCGGTTCGAGCCAGCCCATCCGTGCGACAGCAAAAGCTGCCGCGTGGCTCTACCACTGTTATACTGGCTTTTGATAAAGTAGCTAACTGGAAGCAAGAAGAAATTCCCCCACTTCCAATCCTATCGGACGAAGAACTGTCGATCACATCTGTGCCAGAATCACCATTATCGGAAGCACCGGAAAAAAGTAGACCCAGCCTGCTCATTAACTCCGACAGGCGACTGGGGGTGGAAATGTATATGGCGACAAAAGAAGCGAACGAAATGCTTATGAAAGGGAAGGAGGCATTAGAAATGGCAGGGAATATGAAGAGGGAATGCAAACAAACAGCTTTAGAAAGTCTGCAGTCCCTCTACGAGATGGTCTTGGCATTGTCCGATTCCCGGTCTAGACATAAGCACAATTTAGAAAAGGAACGCTCACGCTCAACGCTCATGAGCTAATGCGAGTGGAGCGGGCCCAAAATAAGCTTATGACACAACTTGTGAAAGGAATGGCATCAGAGATACGCCAAGCCAGGACTGATATAAAGAATACCCTCCATGAATCTAAGGCGATAAGGGGCTGGCTGGACTTTGAAACCCAAGAGCCATTTCGTAGAACATCGGAAATACTTAGGGCTGTAACGGATTTAGATAGGCGCATAGAGGTAATCCAAAATAACCTGAATCAGCTGAAGCAGGGAGGTGCGGAGAACATCTTACCTCACCTAAGAGGGGAACTCACTGGGGTAAAATCAGGCGTGGAAACACTCAGTATGCAATTGATTGACATGCGCCAAATTATCGAAAAATCCGATAATAATACCAAGGAGGTTTTGGAGACTGGCCAGAAAACCTTATTACGCCTTAAAT